TCAGGAAGCAAGGTTGTATTGCAGGTTGTTAATGAGTCTTACTGCAATCCTGATGTCACATTTTTCTTCATAGAATCCAGCTTCTCAGATTATTTGCCCAGCATACAGGTTGAATAAGTATGGTGAAAGAATGCAACTCTGTTGCACACTTTTCTAAATTTTAAACCATTCAGTGATCCCATGTTCTGTTCGAACAACTGCCTCTTGGTCCAAGTTAGATATTTCCATTACAAATTAGGAGGCATCCATACAAAAACCCAGTCAAACAATTTAGATGAACTCTTGAGGCTTGAAAGGAATCCTTTGTTCTTTGAGACCATCCAGGCCAGGGTCCTGCCCTCTAGAATCTGGGCATTGGCTGTGCTTTCTGGATTCTGGATGAAGTTCCTCAGTCTTGGGATTCAGTTCCACCTTTTAGACTTACTTGGATGGCAACTCTGCTCCCTTGGCTTTGGAACCACTCCAATTGAGTGGTGACCCATCCCCTTGGCTGCAACATGTTTGTTCTTCTGCCTCTTAGACATGGCAGCCCTACCCCTTAAGCTTTCTGCAGCAAATGTAGCTCCATTCCCCTGGAACTTATAAAGTGTAGCCCTACACTACACAACTGAATTGGTGAAGATCTGATTTCTGGCTAACAGGCAGTGGCCTCACCATTTGAAACTCCACAGGACATGGACCCAACCTTTTGAGACTGAGGCAACTCTGCTCTTTTCTATACTGCTAGTCTCTTCAGCTTGTTCGTTAGTTCTCAGGTTTCTTGCCTTTAAACCCCTATCCCCTCATGGGCCTGTCCAGCTTCTGCCCTGAACAAGCAAGTGTTACAGAGCTCATTAATTTCACTGATAAGTGTTTAGAGTCTCCTGGTTCTGCTGCCACTATTTTCTTCTGTCATCGCTTTGTGAAATATGTACTGTCTTCATTGTTACAGCTCTCCTTACATATTTCTGAGTTCTTACTAGATTTGCCTTTAACGCCAACAATTCCAACAACAACCTCTTCAAGGAGATCTACACTTTTACTATTAGGTACCTTAAAACTCTTCTAAGTCTATACCCAGAACTCAATTAAAAAACTGCTTCCATATTTTAGGTAGTACCACTTTTTCTTAGTTATCTGGTGCTGCTATTGTAGAAATAACACAAATCTATGATTTTATTAAATGGACATTTATTCTCACACACTTTAGGAGGGTAGAAGTTTAAACTCATGGTGCCAGTTCTGGAGGAAGTCTTTCTTTCTCTGTCAGCTCTGGGGGAAGGTCCTTGTGTTCTTTCAATATTTGTGGGACTCAGCATCCCTTGGAGAGTTCCATGTGTCATAGCGTCAATCTTCCCCAGGGTCTAGGAGATGTTCAACTCAGGGACCTTGAGTCCAAATGACATGCTCTGCTCCTGACTCTTTTTTCTTGGTGGTAGTTAAGTCTCCCCTTCTCTGCTTGCGCCACTCTCTTTCTATCTCATGTAATATAAAAGTTGATGTAGGCCATACCCTAGGGAACCTTTCCTTAAATTGGAACAAAGCTGTGGCTTGAGTAAAGGTGTTGTATCCCATATGAACCCCCTTACTAATTGGCTAATCACATTATATAACATTATGGATGATAATTAAATTATTACATAACTGATAAATTATATTATCGCATAACTGCCAAGTCACTGAGAATCATGGCCCAACCAAGTTGACATATATTTTGGAGAACACAATTCAATCCATGACAATCCCCCGGTATGACTTTTAAAATGCATCTGTGCAGTGATAGGTCTGGCAATATACATGTCCTCTCCACTAGTAAGTACTTGATAAAAATGGAATCACCCTACCTACATCGAGATGTTATTTAATCTCCATGCTGACCAGGATGATTATTGACACAGTCTATATAATGGTGTCTTTTAGTTGTGATTGGAAAATTTACAAGTTAGGCTTTTATAAGGATTTTGATTTTTCCCTTTCCCAGCTGATTCATATCCTTTCTGAACTTGACAGACCAAGCTGTACTCCAGGGAAAAAGGTTTAGGTAATTCTACTTCAATGAGTACATGTATTTGTGTTAGGGTCTTGCCTCGACAGAAGAGTGGTTGCATGAGGTTGGGAGGTCTGATAGGTGAAAGATATAGCATAGAGACAAAGAGACAATACAGACACAAAGAAACAGACACACAAGTTTGATGCAAGCTGAAAAGCAGGCTGGTCTGCAAACATTGCCTTGCATTGCATTGCTTCACCTTACATTGCATGCAGCACTTACTCTACCTCAGTCTTTTATTCTCCTTTTTCAGGGAGGGATTTTTCACAAAGGAAGGTCGTGATTATTCAGATAAGATTAATCATTCAAAACAGGACATATTAATTCACAGGAACAAATTTTAAAATATACATCACAATTGTCTCAAGGATACTTAACATACTTTTAGCACTTAATCTCTAATGGGTAAAGGTGAAAAAGATTTAAAAGGTCATAGAAGGCTTAAAGTAAGGTTTTTGAAGGGAGTCAAGCTGTCTTTGTATACTTGCCAAACAAAAGCTAATGCTTTTGTTTGTGAGCAAGATCTCAAACACCTGGCTTCATTTATCAACTAATAATTCTTTTTTTCTTTCCGGATTCTACATCTAAATGCTACATCACATTTCCATATACTTCCAGAAGGAAGAAGAGCATCTGGGTTAAACTGATTATACCCATAGGGGGTTTGAGAGGGCTGCCACTATTGTCCTCTAATCAATACTCCCAGAATTTACCAATCTACTTTGTTTACAAACCTTGAGTAAAACATTTTTTCTCATACTCCCACTATACCTGTTCCTGGTCTTTCTGAGTCCTCTGAGGAGACTTTTTACTATCTCAGCTTTAGAGGGGTTTTGGTCCCATTGATGTATATGGACATCAAAGGCTCATGCTTCAGGTTAATATTAAGATGCAGTTCTGACATGCATCCCAGGTGACTATTGTTTGTTCCTCAAAAAGATTTGTTCCCAGGACCCTATGCATTGCCAACACAGTGGAGACATTAAGAGAGGCACATAAGAAACCATTTTCTCAGAAGCTACAATTATTGGAGTTAGAAGCATAGAATGAACAATAAGACCAAAGAAAACTATACAGAGGTAGCCCACCAGTGAGTTCACAAAAACCTATGAACCCGGAACTTCAGGGGGTCACTTCCTTGGCCCTCAGGGTCCATGACTCGCAATCCTGAGGAGGGGCCCCGGGATTGGATTTTCATCCATCTTGTCACAGGGCCACAGCTTCTCAGTGCTTGTGTATGTCATCCCCGACAGAATTTGAATAAGATATAAATTTAAAAGCATCAGATTGGCTTTGTGTGCATTTCACTTTACTGCCTTTCTGTGTTTCCATCCTTATCTTTGGAACTGAAGAAGTCTATAGTTCTCTATTTAAAAGTAGGGGCAATGGCAGTGTAAGAATCAAAGCACTGGATGTTCATTTTTTTGTAATTAAATATTTTTGCGATTACAGAATATAAAATTTTTTAAAGTAAATTTAGAATTCAATTGCATTCAAAAACCATAATTTTTACAACCCGAGGAAATATATTTTATTTTAATTCAGTTTGTCAAATTACAAATATCTTTGTATATCTTATTCTTCATTTTTTAAAACATAAAATGTAGTACATTTTATAAGCATCTCTGGATTTTTACAGGTTGTTGTCATTCTTTAATACAAAATTTAAAAGAACATATTTCAGAAAGTTGAAAAATGTATTTTTACTTGAAAAGTTACTTTCATGAAGAGTTTTATTTCACATTTTATCTTAAGCATTTTATTGTTAAATGGAAAAAATGGAAGAATTTAAAGCTAAGATATTATTCATTTCTTTAGTGCCTATGACCTTAACATATTCAACTGGATAAATATAACATAAAAAGAAAGCATGTATTATCATATAAAAACAAGTAGAATATTGACCATACATAACCAAAATTCTGGCGCTTACACCATGTAGCATATTCTTCAATGTGAATACACTTTGAAATTGTTTTCCAAATGGTAGGTAATTATAGCATTCACAGACATATTTCAGAAGGATATTACTTATTATATACAATTGTGGCCTTGACATTCTGAAGCTGAGCTCCCAGTTTGTATCAATATGATAAATAGCCCATATTTTATGGCATAGCTTATGTATATGATATTACAATAATTTATTACTGATGATAACTATAACAAGAGAGGATGTTAAGCAGTGCCAGATTTATACATGTGTTTTGGAAGATGGTTTAATGTAAGAGTAAGTCTGTGAAATTTTGATATATTGTGATCAGCACAACAAATTATGTTAGCGAATCAGCTTTTTAGTGTCAATGTAGTAAAAAATAAATAAATAAAGAAAAAAATTCCTCTTGGAAAATATGAGGTATTATTTATCTGTTTAAGATGGTTGTTTGAATAAGATTATGGAGTCTTACTGAAAATTAGACTATTATTTTAGCCTTTAGTTATCTTTTATATTGCATTTTTTTGTGGAGTTCTGATAGCATAGTGGGTTATAAGTTAGGCTACTAATCACAAGGTCAGCAGTTCAAATTCACCAGAAGCTCTGAGGAAGAAAGATGATGCTTTCTGCTCCCCAAAGCCTTATAGCCTCAGAAGCTCTATAAGAGTCTCTATGAGTCGGAACTGACTTAATCACACTTAAGAACAACTACCTATTCCATTTAATAGAGTACCTTTTTTTGGAAAGAAAAAAATACATTTTTAACTTCTCAGATTCTTACTTTGAAAACTACTAGTGCTTTATATAATCTTCACACTTTGGTGAATATCAATTTTTACTAAACATTTTAGAGTAATAAGACTAATTCAAGACTGCTGGATTACAATTACAACTACATTTTAAAATTACAAAGATTCTTATGTTTAATTTTGAACTGCAGAAAACAACACCTTTCTTCTTACTCTCTTCTTTCCATTCCATTTCTTGAAATTACTCTTTCACTTAAAAAAAAAAAAAAAAAAAGATTCATGGCATTCATGGCAGTTTCACCACAATAAGACATGCACCAGCTCTTCCAATGTTAACAGGAGCTTCCTAAAACAAAAATAAAGAAAATGAAATGCTGTTGGAACCAAGTATTTAGCATAATATAGTTATTCATAATAACTATAAGGAGCTCTGGTAGCGTAGTGGTTACGAAATTGGGCTGTGAGCTTCAAGATCAGCAGTTCGAAACTACTAGCTGTTCCACAGGAGAAAGATGAGGCTTTCTGCTCCTGTAAAGATTTGCAGCCTAGGAAACCCTGTATAGGGTCGCTATAAGTTGGAACCGATGCCACAACACATAACTAAAACCAGTTATTCATAATGTGGGTATTCTGCTTCACTTTAACCTTTTTTAAGAATAAAGAAAACTGTAGCTCAATTAACAGTACATTGTGGGGAACAGACAGTTTCAGAATTATGCAAAGCTGAATTTGAAGACCAAGTAATCTGGCATGTTTCACCTATCTGATATCCAACTTCCTTATTTTAAAATTTTGCAGCTTACTTCAATTATATTAAGATGATAAAGTGAAATAATGAATGAAAAGAATTTGGCATACAGTAGTTAAAAAATGATTGTCACTTCTCTTTCCAAAATGAAAAGATGACAGTCATGAATAGCATCCTGGTGTCCTAGCAGGTTCTGATCTACAATCTTAAGACCTGACACAATCTTACTAAAATTTTTGATTCTTGTATTTGACCTAGCCCTTTATTTGCTAAAATTTCTTCCATTTCCAACTGGCTTTGAACACTGATAAAGTGGGGTAGTAATAGACATCGTAGAATTTGTGTTTTAAT